GAGAGCCGCGAAGAAACGACACCGTTTGTCACTCGGTCCATCCAGCAACTGTCGAGCTCTCAACAGATCGTGGCCTTTCCTGTATCCTCCTCCAGTTTATCTGCACCTTCATTCACTCAGTAGCTGTGAAAATTTAGCAGAAACTCTTAAAAACTTTCCAATTGGCGAGATATTTTAGAGAGAAACCCCTTTTTGCTATTGATAACTCCAATCTCTTCTGTCGAAAAGAAGAAAAACGTTTTTTAAATATTTGTTAGGGTCTTTGCCGTTCCTGGATCTGTCACTAGTAAATGTGCGAGCACAGAAATGATTCGATTTTATTCTCTCTCTTTGCATCCTCTGTTATTGCATGTTGAATTATGGAGAAAAATATAGATGTATTGATTGTCCAATATCCATGGATACCGAATAAATCATCCATTATCAACAAGTAACGTTCATCAACATTGGATGTTGATTCACTGAACCCTAGACCGACTAAATGATGACAAAGATGTCCTTATATTTTTGCATAAAAATGAATTCTGTACAATGACGACTATAGGAGAAATTATCAATATTTGTAACATATTTTATATTTCATACTATAGATATATTCAAACAGTTGACATAAAATATTGAAAGACGCTAAAGAATATGAAAAAGTTTATGCTTTAGTTGATAATAACGAATAAAAACGGTGATTTATGCCATAAACCCCCTCCCGTAATAGAAGCCTTCTCCAGAGGGGACAACGTAAAAGGTGTATTAGAAGCCCCCTGATTTCAAAAAACTTTTGAAAATTTTTGTTGATATTTTCGTCGAAAAACTGAAAATTCGCAATCTTAAGGTGAGAATATGTTTAATTTCCGTACTTATCAGCATAAAAATCTTGAAATCTCTTAGACAGTCGTTTGAACAACTCTTAAAAACCCTAAAAACTCCTCAAGTTCTTTGAAACCGTTTACCTTCGAAAAACTTTCGGATGATGAACGAATTAGAAGCCTCTAGAGGCTTCTAAACTGGATGGGAGTTTAGTAATGGCCATTTCTATCACGGACAGAGTTAATTGTGACACAGACATGCTCATGTGTGCGATCAGAATTGTCAACTGTAACATATAAATGGTTGATTATGCCGTGGAAATGGTGAATTGAGCCACAGAGTTGACTATTTGTGCCAAAAAAGTGCTCATTCGTGCCAGAAAAATGGTCATTTATGCCACAGAAATGGCCGTTTGTGCCAAGTCCTTGTTACATACAGACAGACCCAGGTGAATTACGGTTTCTAGACTCTAGCTTTTCAGTCTAGGGAAATCTGCTCACATCCATAACTACTATGGTCGCCTATACCACCAAAGTGGTACTTTGTACCATGAAAATGGTCACTTGTAGCAAGTGTTACAGACAGACACACACAGGTGAATATCCGTTTCTAGACCCTATCCGTTCAGTCTAGGGAATAGATCGAAATAGAGAGTGGATGTGAGCGTGACAAGAGTGAAAAAAAGGTTCACAGCTACATCTGTACCCAAGTCCAAGTCCATACCCACCTCAAGCTTCTGTTTTATCTGAGATGGACTTGAAAAACTATAAGCAGCGAATAAAGCTCAATAGCAATTTATCAAATTATACAAAAAATATTTTTTCTGAGAGATTTTCATTTTTCACTGAAGACAGTGTCTTGAGTCCATTCCAAATAAAGTAAAAGCTTTTTGAAACTTTTTTTTATCGAAATACTTACAATTAAAACCTAGACAAACAAAGAAAATTTTATTATTTTGCAATGTAGTTTAGACCCTCAAAATACTCAACTACAAATACATTGAGTTGCTCCTAAAAACTAACCTACATTTGTAATCTTTATACATCGAAGCAGGTTTTGACTATTGTCTCTGACTGTTGTCGACAATGTTACGTCTAATTAGAATATCAAAATCGAAAAATACTTTCTCAAAATTGTGGTAGAAATTCCACGAATTCACTCATAATTAAATAAAGTAATAAGTTATTACTGTAATAAGGTAATAAAAAACAAAAAGCACACTATGACAGATATAGAAAAGACACGTGAGGAATTAGTACATAAATGTCTTTTTTGTCGATGAAGTATTGTTTGATTGATCTTTTCAGACACGCTTATTACATACAAAGAAGAATGCGAAAAGTATGATTTTAATCATTCGTGATTTTCACAGGCTACAAACTATATTAATATTTGCAGATCAACATTCCGAGGACGATTATCAGAGCTGTCTTCTTAGTACAGTGAAAAGCATGTATTTCATTTAGTAGTTTCCATAGATCTAGTTTTTCAAAAGCGTTACAATTGCAGCATTGGTTCTTTTATGCCAATTCACCAATAGTAATTAGTTATATGACACATAGATAAATATTCAGATCAATCTATGCCCGAAAATGAAATCTAACACTATCAAAATGTCTAAGAATGAAAGCGAAAATCCAGTCAATAATCAAAAATATTTTTACTATCTTTTTGTTTTCCTTTTTTTCTATGTCTATGTATATATATAATAGCTTCACAGAAGAGGCTGACAGCTGAAAGAAATAGGATTAGAAAGCAGCTGTCTATTTCTTTTATTTTTATTTCTTTTTTTTTTGTAATTTTACCAATATCTGTTAACCCTACGGAGAAAAATAAATTAATATATAAAAGACAATGCAACAGAAAGCGACCTTTTCTTTACTTATCGATAAGAGAAGAATGAAAAAGAGAGAGAAAAAAACACGTGTCATACGTTATTATGATTAGGCAGTTTATCTTTTATCGTGCTTTCACTGCACCAACACATTTTTCTTGTTTTTCTGTCTTACTATCCATCTACAGATGAAAGCAAGAAAAATCGTCTTTCTTTGGTCTCACGTACGTTCATTGTCGACTGCGTTTGAACGAGCTTTCATACAGCGCGACGACTATGTTACTTTCCATGAACCCTTTGGCGAGCCTTGCTATTTTGGTCCCGAACGTATTTATAACTACCATGATAATGAATTGAGTGCACATGCAGAGTATATCCATGTAACTTACTCACAGATCATCGAGCAGATACTCAATGCTGCTACAGGCGAGGAAAAGAAGAAGGTTTTTATCAAGGATATGGCGCGTCACGTTGTACGAACTGACTACAAATCACATCCAGAAAACCCAACTGTGCTTCCAATTGACTTTCTCAAGCAGTGCAATCACACATTTATCCTTCGTACACCAGAGAAGGCTGTCTCCTCTTCGTACCGTACGTATGTTATCAACAACCATAAATTCATTCACGATGACGTAGGCTACCCGGAACTGCAGGCCTTATATGAATTTCTCACTGAACTTACTGGTGCTCGCCCACCTTTGGTTGATGCAGACGAACTTCTTGCAGACCCTAAAGCTATCATGCAAATGTACTGCGAGTCAGCTATTCATGATCAATTTGAACCAAAAATGCTTGAGTGGAAAGCAGAAAGAATTAAGGCGTTCGACAAATGGGTAGGCTGGCACGAAAATGCACAATATAGTACAGGCTTCGGTCAGATTCAGAAAACCACCGACAATATTAATGATATTGTTCTTCCTGACGACGTGCAGCAACTCATTGAAAAAAGCATGCCCATTTACAACGCTCTGCGTGAATTCAGGCTGCTTGTTTGACAATGGAGAGTAGACCCTAATACATGCCGCTCTTTTCTGAGAACTGATTTTCATAGAGATTTTGATTTGATTGAATCTACGGCATTATAGTATTATAACAAGAGACAAAATGTGTGAAGAGCTATTGATAAACTTTCCAGTATATTTACCCATAACTTGTTTCTTAAACAACAAAGTTCCGCCACATTTCTCATGGTAATTCATCTATTTCTTGATATTCAAGGTTATGCTCGAAAATGAGAAGACACGAAGTAGGCACTAAATGGAAAAAAATAGAGGCGTCTAGAGTTTTTAGACAAAATGCTTCTTCGTTTTTCTATCGATTAAGCAGGTTTGCAGAAAATATTAAACACTCGATTAGTAGAATCAGAGTTTTGTGCTTCTTACGAATCAATCTTTTCATAGTTTTTCTGATGAATCATACATCAGGTGTCATGAGCAAAGTTTGCTCAGCAAATTTTGGAGAAGTCTGACAATCAAGTTTGCACTGTTTACGATGCTTAAGAAAATGTTCAAGATAGATGTAACATTTATTCTATATACATGGATATTAGGAAAAAACATTGCTGTACAAAAGGATAACTTGATCATGCCTTTTCTCTGAGGTGTCTATCAATAATACGAATTTTGGTGAGAGATACGATGGTGTGTTCGAAATGTTCTTGATTTCCAGACTTACAGTGCGAACTCGATCGTTTCTGGTTGATCGCTGCAAAACTCTTAATTCTTTTTTGATTTTATAGAAAACAATCTCGATTCTTATGCTGTGCAAAAGTCATTAGTAGACGATATAGAGTAAAGGACATTATTATGAAGAAGGAGGCCAATTGCCTAAGTATTTTTTCAAGAAGAAATTGAAGCATAGTATAGTCAAGAAAAACAGAGTGATGTTTAATGAAATGATTTTTTTGTGAAAGTAACGAGAAAAATCACTAAAAGAAGCATTTACTTTCAGATTTTCCAAAGATTTGCTCACAGTACATGATCCATCAGTGGCATAAAAATTCTAAACAAGTTTTCTAATATTTTTTTGCGAATTTTCTTAATCGGTCAACAAATAAAGGAACATTTTCTCTAAAAAGTTTTGAATACTTTCAATTGTCGTTCTTTTTGACATTCATATTCTACTTGTATACTATAATACGTAATGTGCAAGGCTCTTTGTTTACACATTGAAAAATTCGCTTTTATGTTTTCGTTATTTTATTTCAAATAAAATCAGTTACATTCATATAAGGTCTACTATATTTCGTGTGTCTTTTAACGGATATTTCATTCAATGAATAGGTTGACGACGAATCAAGCGAATGAAATCACTTCGAAACTTGCTCGAACAAATAATGAAGACTAAAATAACGAAAGTATCATGATAAAAAAAACATAGGTGGAACCTCAAAAATTTTCATCATACCATAGAATGGAGCAACACAGTAAAAATAATTCAATAATGGACTAATAATGTATCCAACAAGTCCTTCGATAGCTAATCGCATTTCACTCTTTTGTTGTGCAATTGGCGTCGTGATAAAACCATAGAGTACATTAGCAGGATAAAGAATTGTAGTTACTACATAGACCAATACCTCACCCGCTAACATTCTCATTAAATCACGATCCGCTTTATGAAAACGAACCTGAGCAAGATTCTGTCTAGGTGTAACTCGTGATCGAATTTGTCTTAAATTATTCCAGGCCAGGACACCAAAGAAAATCATCAAAAATGGTGGAAGAAAGCCAATAAAAATAAATAAGTAGACAGCAAATGCGAAAGCATAATAGGAAGGCGCACCACAACGGCCAGAATAATTGTTAATGAAAATAGCCATATGCACTGGTATGATTGGCCAAATCAACAAAAGACAAAAAATAACGTTACGAGCTATTTTTGGTCGGCAAAATGATCGAATCTTAGCATATGGAGAAGTAAGAGCCCATCGGTCAATACATGCAGCTATCACTAAAAAAGAAAACAAACAAATAAATAGACCTATATGATGATAGAACTTACTGAAACTTCGTGAAAGCATTAATAGTATTTGTCCTCCATACCAGCGTAATTTACAGACGACAAGTGATCTATGCTGTGGATCAACATGATCAACACCATAGACCGTTGAAATAAGTGTGCTATTAATCAAAATCCAATTTGTAATTGAAGCAGCTAACAAATAGCATGTACATGAATTTAGTAGTTTTCTTAATGTTCGGATAAATATAAGAATTGTTAAAATATTGCCCACATTACCGAGCAAAATTAATGCCGATAAACCATAACGACCTAGATTTTTTTGAATGTTAACGATAGTTGAAACTGACATTCTAAGATGAGTAGCTGAAAGATAAATCAAGGAACATTTTAATTTACTGTTTCTTGAATAAATCAGAGGCGAAAATAACATAATCGAAATATCATAAAGAAACACATATTAACAAGAACTACTGATATAAATCTCATACGTATTACTTACACTAAAATGTACTGATTAAACTAAGTGAAAGATCATTTTTAATACGTTCTCCATCATCTCATTCCAACTGCCTAAAACGATGTGATTAATGTCCTAAACGATGAAAAATGATCGCCGGTGTTCACTGTTTTCCGTCAGCTCTGACTAAGGACCGCTTCTTATCGAAGAGTAAACGGTGTTTTTTAGAGTCCTTCGAGTAAAAAATCGATGCAGAATATTAAGACACTATTTACAGTGTTGTTTGTCGTATACAGCTTACTTTCTTAGATGTATGAGAAAGAAGTGCACCCAGAAGCAATAATCATGCCTGTTGTTCATGATAGTATTCTTCAACATTTTTTTAGATAAATTAATTCGCACATAAAAAAAAGAACTATAAATTCAAGGATGCATTTTTTTATCAAGTAATGAATTACAGTCGTTTCTCAACATTTTTAAACGTTTACGAACAGTTGTTTCGACATGCGATGAGCAGAATCATTGGAATTTGGATAAACTTCCTACTAGACATCTAGAACACAAAAGAATAGATTCTATTATCTATGGAACTTACCTCTAGAAAGAAAAAACGATGACCGAGAGATATTCGAAGGCGTGTACTTGTACTCAATAACTCAATATTAATGTCATGTCAGTCGTCATGTGGTAAGACACAGACATTTTTCTAGAGCGTACGTCATATTGTCCAATAGATCTCAACAAAGCCTATTCGTTGATGCCTCAACTAGCTCAAAAAAAGGAGCAGTCATCCTATTCCGCGATGTTACACATTGCGGAATCAGTTCCGCCCCAGGAATCAATTCCAACGATTCCGGAGTCACATCCACGCTGCACGACATTCAATTCCGGAATCCATTCTAACAGTTTCTAGATATTCCGGAATCGATTCCAGAAAATACCAGCAATTCCTCACAGCGCCGTCTAATTCCGGAATCGAATAAAACCGGAATCGGTAGGAATTACTAGGAATTCCGGAATTGCTATACCTAGTATTATTCTATCATCTCTTATGAATCTAATGATTATCCAATTCCGGAACGGAATTCCGGAATTGGGCGGAATTCCTGGGAATTCCGTCCAATTCCGTGCGATTCCGCCTCGACTCAATTCCCGGAATTCCGTGCCGGAATTACTTACTTATACGAGAGGATAATCTTCTGTCACATCACCATGCGTGAGGGTGAGGGGAAGAGTGA